TCAAGTTATATTTACCTTAATATAACACTAAGGTATATATAAACAAAACATTCTGAGACAAGTGCCTGTGGTTAGATGAAGACGAGTCGACGAGTCAGGTAGTGTGGGCGGGTCTCTATTGCATTGGATATTGATCTTTGTGGAGGTGTGATCATCTGAGACTTTTCCTTCAGAACTCGTGGCAGATGAGTCTGGCTTCGGTTTGAAATAAGAAAATATTTTTTTTCTGCATGACTCGGACAGCTTCATCAACACTTGTTATTAGGCTGTCAAACTAACATCCGGGATAGACGGAAAAGACACAAACAGTCTCCGAACGTTAAACAAATATCACGTTCATAATAGATAATAGATGCATCACGTCGTTAATACCCCTCCCACTCTGTCCAATTCCAATTGACAAATTCATATATGTTATATTTGTCCCTCCCTCCCTCTCTCTCTCTTCCCTTTTTTTTTTTTTTTTGTGAAAACGACGTGAATGCACGTGCTGTCGTGCCTCCGGGTAGCTACGCCCCTGTAAGGGATATTCAAACTCATAAGTCGAAAACAAACTGACAATGCCATGACAAAAAAAAGAAAAACGACGAAAAGACAAACAACAGTTCACAAAACACACAAAGAAAATTAAAAACCTAGCAACACAAACCCCACCAAACACCGGGGTGATCTAAGATGTTTCGGAAGGGTAAGCAGATCCTGCTTCAATATTTATCTGAAGAATTATAAAACAGTCCAAATGATCGGCCAAAGGGGAATAACGAAAACAAATTTTGAAAATTTTGCATCGTAGATTTGTACATTATGGTTTTTTGTGTCCGAGAGAGAGACAAAAACATTAATCAAACCTTTTTAGGTATTTTGGATTTGTACAGTGTCGTTTCATACGATATATGTCCTTTTGCGTTATGACAAAGAGACAGTCAAGCTTTTTAGAACATACTCACCCATTCTCGTCCAATGGAAAATCAGTATTTTCCCTTCTATTTTTCATAGTACATGCAGGCGGAAACCCAGTTGAAATTAAAACAAAAGAAATGGAACTCTTTGTTATAGAAGGTAAAAAAGGCGAAGTTAGTAAATTTGAATTGTTTACATCTGTTTCTATGGGCTTTAAAAGTTAAATAAATGTGCCTAATTTATGATTTTATGCATCTTATGTATGTGTTTTACTTAATTTATTGAATTGAGCTTCGAGATATTTGTAAACTTTTAAATTATAGACAACTTTTCACAAAACAGTCGATTGTGGTAGGTGCAAATTCTCGTGGATCTTTTTTGTGCATAAGCATAACTTCCGCCGAAAAAAATTCCAAAGAAAGATCATAGATTTATCTTCTTTTAAAAAGCATCAATTTGCATCTCTGCCCTCGGTGACAGTTTTTCGCTTCCGTTTGTATTATTTTTATCAATTTAGGCTGTAGGTTGATACAAAAACATTAAAAATTTACAGTACTAAAAGATGACATATATGGGTCAAGTGAAATACCTGTCCAATGAGTCATAACAACAGAGTAGGCGTGTTCGAATAACAATTTTTTTACTAAAATTACTTGACGACAAACTTTTCTGGTGGATCTTAAAATTGCATTACTTTAAAAAAAAATTCATTTGTTGTGTGTGTTATCTAGGGTGATTAGTCTTCAACCTCTGAAAATTTTTATGTTCCACGAAATACTTAATTAGAATTTTTTTAAATATTTTTGAACTTTCGAAAATTCCCCCTGACAACCGATTAGACAATCGTTTTAAGTTGGCCAAATACATAAAAGTACATTAAATGATGCTTAATAGCTAGTAGATACATTTGTCTTTTAAAATACAACTGGCATATAAGGATCGTAATGATACTATGTGGATAAATTTATCGGAAGAGCTAAATTGACAGCGCGTCATCACTACAATGACTACCATTTTTATGATTATAAAAATTAGGTGGCGTAATGGGGAGATAATTCTGACGAAGTAGAATCCTGACTGCATGGCTTTCCATGCACTATAAAATGTTATACATCAATGACTTTTCATTGTTGATTGAGTATGAAAGTGAATTCCTAAAACTGCAAACGAAGTGTACAAGCCCCAAGGCAACTTCCAAGGGAAAAGAACAAAAGAAAAAATCATTAGTACTGTTGTTTATTAAGTGGAGATTTTAACATTGTAAATGTTTTATTTTATATATATATACGATTTCCGTATAAATTAATTTCTGTACCTGGTGTTTAACCTGAGGCTCTTTGTATTTTTTAGTAAATGTTGGATTCCCGGATTTTTTATAAAGTCTATCTCTTTTTCTAGTGAGCCTTTTTGTTTCCATTGTGATCCATGGGTGACCGTCCTTTGATTTAGCTGTTTTATGTGGGATGTGATCTTTCACTAGTAATTTTTAGTATTGTTGTTTTAAAACTGTTCCACATTTCATTTACACATAGATGTTGCTGGTTCTCAAAGAGATGTTACAAAAAGTGTTTATTTCTTGTTTAATTGTGCTCCAGTTTGCTTTTCTATATAATGGAATTACTCTAGAGGCCCCTCATGGGGGTGTCCAAGTAATAACATAATCACAAATTTTTTGCCAATATAATCACATAATCGTTAATTATTTTTTTAAACAAGTTAATCAAATAATCAAAAATACAGTCCTAGCTTATCAAATAATCAAATAATCATGAAATATTTGGTCTGGTAATCAAATAATCACTATAAAAACGGCCAAGTAATCACATAATCAAAAACCCCATGAGGAGGCTCACTCTGGGCTTCTAGGTCATTCGACACAACTCCGCCGATTCCGTACCTTCATCTAAGAAGGAGAGTAGCGGATTCACCCGAGGATTGCCGATTAGCTTCTAGGTAACACTTTCTAGTACGGGAGAATCACTCCTATTGTTGCGGAACACCTTGTAATAAGACATAAATATCTACATGTATTTTCTTTCTAAATATTTTTGGCAAACGTTCCATATTTGTATTGTTTATTGCTTATTTGTGTTATCGCATGTATTTAGTAGCAATCCGATTGTTTTGATTTTACACTAATAAATATCTTATGAAATCTTTTTTGAAGTTAAATAAATTACTGTATCAGAGACATATATACACAGAGATAGATATAGGAAGATGTGGTATGAGTGCCAATGAGACAACTCTCCATCCAAGTCACAATTTGTAAAAGTAAACCATTATAGGTCAAACTGAGACTACTGTGTTCTAGCAGGAACATATATATAGATACACTGTTAACAGGTAATAGTAGCCACAGGGTCAAAGTACGGCCTTCAACACGAAGCCTTGGCTCACACAGAGATAGGCACATTTAACAGTGGTCAGCGAAATCCAAGAAAACGCACGTGGCCCGCGGTCTCTGTCTGTATCAATGAATATCTGTAATGAGCTTAGATATTGTATGTGATTAGTGTCAGTGATTAAGTCTAGGTTAGTCTATGGAAAGGTATATACTATGAAATTTAGAGCGAGGGGCTTGCCCCGAGCTCTTAATTTCATACTATATACCTTTTCATAGACTATCCAATTTAGCACATATTTACAACTCGAGTAATCTTTTAATTGGTCTATTGATAGTTTATTTTGGCTGACTAATTGTATCACAGGTGTTTGTAAAACATAGCTCATTAACGAAGTTTTGTAAATCTACTCATTAGTATCATTGTAAAATATGTGATTTCAAAAGGCCCTTGATTCCAGAATGAAAAGATGGTAGCTGCTGGTGTAAGCATGTTGGTTGATATAAAGCGGTGCTTTACTTTACATGTATTTCTTTACATGGTAAGATGACAAAATAAATTGACCAAAAGCAGGCAATAATTAAATTGCAGTCGAAGCTTTACATGTCTTGAAAACATTTTTCAATTTCATAGTAAAACTTAAGCTATGATAAATTTAAAACATATAGATAGTATGCAGTGGCAGATCCAGGGGGGGGGGGGGGGTCCGGGGTTTTGAAAACCATTTTTTTGATAGATCAATGCTTTTGAATGGGGACATTTGGTTGGAACCCTCGTTTTATCCTTGGTTGGAACGCCCTTTTAAAAATGGCTGGATTCGCCCCTGGTATGTCCCCATAGATAGTCTAGCGGATAGTCAACCAATAGATAAAAAATACTAGGGTTTATGTTTTTTTTTTTATTCAAAAGAAAAAAAAACTAAAAGATATATATATATATATAGGTGGCACATTCTCTTCAGACATTATCACGGTTTTTTCAATTCATGACATCGTCCTGAACATGCATGAAATATTTGCCACTGGACATTAAGCAACCAATAATCAATCAATCAATCAATTTATGACGAAATAGATCAAGTTGCCTTAATTTCCCTTCACAAGGTTTCATAGTACACACTTTTTTGTGAACGAGTAATTGCATGGATGATAAATTATCACAATTTTAAGATGGCGTTGTACTCTAATCAAGGTATAAAGAACCATATTTGTTTCGTTTTATTTAAATGAAAGAAACTTGCAATCATCAAAAACATTTTTTAGATCCAAAGATTTTAAAAGCAGGATATTTAAAAATCAATGTGAAAACTAATTACAAACTATTTAATTTAATTTGGAACTCAGCATTTCATTTCAAAATAGCCAGTGGCATTTTTTGTTTTAATATCTTGATTACAATACAATGAAATCTTACCCTTGTGGTCATTCATGCATAGTAACTTAGTACACGGAAAAAGTATGTACTATGAAAATTGGAAGGCTAATTCAAGCAATTTGATTGGACGAGAAGTTGTAAGTATGTGCTAATATTTATTACAGTAGAAATGTTTTGGTGTCCTCTGGGCAATTGAAAGAAATTGCTTATTTTACGCTACATGATTTACTATATTCTGAATCTTCATTCAACGAACAGTAGAAATTATAAGTGCAGTCATTTATTTTTTATAAGTTTCCACATAAGTGCCTAAGATTGTACATTTGTGGAGCTAACAACACAGACGATATTTCTTTCCCCTTACTCATAGGATCCCAGAAAGCAGTTCCTATTTGCTACCACAATGTTTCTAAAGTGTGAGTAAAATGGTTTCTACTTGATAATTGATTTTGTTTAATGTTTTAGTGCTTAAAGTGTATAAATTTTAAGTTCTTAAGTATGTAAGTATTTGCGTGTAGGGGGAGGAGGGGTCACTTTAATACTGTTAATTGATAGGGGTGCCGCTGGGGTTCAATTGTACGAGGTTGTACTATTTACATGATTTAAGAATACACTAATATTTGGCCCTAGATTATTTGTAGTCTTTTATTATTATTTTAATAATTCTCATATGAAGGCCACTTTCACTAGAGATCTTATTACTGTTTTATTTGTTTGTCTGTCATTTGTCTGTTATTGTTTGTTTATAATCATGTCATAACCATTTAATGTAAATATGTGTATGCAAATGAATATTGAATCAATATCGTCTTCTATCTATAAGTGTATTCAATAAGTGATAGCTTTTCTAAAAAGCTTGCCGTTTTATAGCTTATAATGTTGAAAATTATATTTTGAATATTCCTCTGCATATAAATGTTATTGGGATGAAAAAAGTGGAACATTGGAAAGGCTAATATAGTATTTCAAGGGTTATAATTTTCTTTTTTGTGCATTGTGATTTTAACCCCAAGAAAGAGCTTAATATTTTCTAAATTACTTGTGTTTTTGCCTGTACTAATTAATCGCAGTAAACTTTTATTAATGAATTAATTTGTCAGCAGACATGTCTTCTATTTACTCTCTGTTTGTTTGTTTGTGTTTGAGAAAAGTGTGATCAAATTTTCATTAATTGTCTTGGGCTTCCTCCACCAATAAAAAAACTGACTGCCATGAAATAGCTCAATAGTGATGAAAGTGGCGTTAAACACCAATCAATCAATCATTAATTGTCCCAATAAACCAACTCACAAACATTTTAGATCCCACTGAATCTTTATAATACAAGAACTAACTGACCATAATTCTTATACGATTTGAATATTAGGGAATATGTTCAGTGGCGGATCCAGGGGGGGATGGGGTTTCGGGGGTTGGAACCCCCCCCCCTTTTTTTCTGACGAACAATGCATTTGAATGGGGACATATAGTTGGAACCCCCCTTTATCCTGAGTTAGGAACCCCCCTTTTATAAATGGCTGGATCCGCCCCTGACGTTCATATGATTGGTCAAAAGGGCTTCTGGTAGTGGCTCTTGACGTTATTTATTTTTCGATAGACAAGGTTGACGGAACTACTTTCTGTTACCAATGTAGACAAGATGGCGGCCATAATAACACAAATAGGCTCGACGATAGAAGTATTTATTTTCACTTCCCGTTCATCGTTAAATTAAATAATAAACACAAAACTTTCATTTGAATGATAATTAGACATTTTTGTAGTTTTTTTTTTTCAGTGGCAAATTTCATGGAGTACATTTTTATTGCATTAACCAAAAGATATATTCATGCACCAGGCCAATTCAATGACACAAATATATACAATTTACATGTGAAAGAGGTTACAAGTTGGAAAATTAAATTCCTTATCTCCAATTTTGAAGAATTATAAGGAATTTAGTGGTGTATAAACTGGACCGAGTCCTTTAAAAAGGCATTTAATCCTATACTATATCCTGCTTGAGCTAGTTTTTTTTTTAAGTTTTGTATCAATCTGATGAGTACTCCCTTTTCAGCTGGTTTTTTACAATTAGTAGTTACCTAATAGAAAGGAATAATATGGGGTATCCATCAAAGACACAAAATCAGTTCATACATAGCAAAAACACAAAAAGCAAAAGAATAGTGCTTTTATTGCTGAATGTTGTGCTTTAACACCACAGTCCTAGGTTAGGGGTGGGTTGGTCACCCACAAACATGGTTAACCCTGCTAAATTGGATGTGTGGCTGTGGCAAAATCAGGAACCTGGATTGCATTGGTTATTGTTTGTTGTAGTATATCATATTTGCTTTTTCTATTGTACATAAATCAATGACATGCCGTCTGTTTTGCTGTTTGACAATTTTCCGTTGTCCGTTAACTTTTACAAAAATCTTCTCCTCTGAAACTACTGGGCCAAATTTAACCAAACTTGACCACAGTCATCACTAGTGTATCTAGTTTAAAAAATGTGTCCGATGACCCCACCTGCCTACCAACATGGCCGCCACCTGTTAAATATTTTTATCAGGTTGAGATCTGTCCAGCCTGAAATTTTCAGACGAATCAGACAACCCGTTGTTGGGTTGCTTCCCCTGAATTGGTAATTTTAAGGAAATTTTGCAGTTTTTGGTTATTATCTTAAATATTATTATAGATAGAAATAAACTTTAAACAGCAATAATGTTCAGCAAAGTAAGATCTACAAATAAGTCAACATGACCAAATTTGTCAATTGACCCCTTAAGGAGTTGCCCTTTATATTCAATTTTTAACAATTTTTTGTAAATTTTTGTAATCTTTTACAAAAATCTTCTCCTCTGAAACTACTGAGACAAATTTTACCAAACTTGGCCATAATCATCATAAGGGTATCAAGTTTAAAAAGTGTGTCTGATGTGTCTGATGACAAATACAGTTTTTGGCTTATATCTCTGAAACTAAAGCATTTAGAGCAAATCTGACACTGGGAAATATGTTCATCAGGTTAAGATCTATTTGCCCTGAAAACACGTTGTTGGGTTGATTGAAATATTAAATAGCCATAAAATTTTGTTTAACAGCATATTGTCCAAGGTCATGGTTGTCTTTCTGATTTTGTTTTACATCTCACTCCCCCTTTTTTATTAATTTTGTATTTACATTGTGTCATAGATCAAATTTATTTGTTCAGTGTATGTTTACCTGTTTTTGTTAATATGTCTTTTGATTGAGTTAAGCCATTTCAATTGATATTTTATAGTGTCTTTCTATGTTGTGATGTTACACTTTTATTTCAGGTTAGGGTGAAGGTTGGTGCCTGTTAAAAAGTTTAAACACACTGGCAGTCTGCATTTGTTTGCACCTGTCCTAAGTCAGGAACCTGTTGTTCAGTGGTTGTTGTTTGTTGATGTGGTTCATAAGTGTTTCTCGTGTCTCATTTTTTATATAGATTAGACCGTTGGTTTTCCTGTTTGAATGGTTTTACGCTAGTCATTTTTGGGGCCCTTTATAGCTTGCTGTTCGATGTGAGCCAAGGCTCCGTGTTGAAGGCCTTACTTTGACCATGGTTTACTTTTTACATATTGCGACTTGGATGGAGAGTTGTCTCATTGGCACTCATACCACATCTTCTTATATCTATTAAATGTTTAAAAATAAAAAAAATAAAACAACCAAACCAAAGTTACACTTTTTTCTCAAAGTTTGAATCAAAGGAGATGTGGGGTACAGTACAACCTGTGACTTCCTCTTAGTTATGTCCACCCTCTTGTATGGTCACCATTGAATGGTGGCCATTTATTGGGGTATTCAATCTTGAGATGTTGGCCATTTATTGGGGTCATAAAACATAGGTTAATGTTTTATCTAATTATGTTACCTGTTGAAATCAATCAGGGTTGAAGTTTTCAGCTTGTATGTTTTATTAAAATGTACCTGTACAGGTAACTCAGGTTTCTTCTCAAATTGACATATCACCTTTTCTTTAAAATGTAGAATAGAATGTTGTTTTAGTCTTTGTTAATTTATGTCATTTGTTGATTTTTCTGTCTTTAAATTTACATATTTTCTTTTTTTTAATAGTGTTATTGATTCAGCCATGCTGGATCTATGCGATCACTCTGGTTTTGGAGATGGTGCAGAATACTAAGTTGAAGACATATCATGAAACTAATTATGTGTTTTTTTGACTTGCATAAACTTTCTACACCATTTTAATCATCAACTGCAAACTTTTGACATGTTATTTGCCCATAAATTAAGAAAAGATTGGTCGAATAGTGACTTTATTTTAGATATACACTTGCATATAGTTCCTTTCTAAATCAAAATTTATGATGATTTACTATTTATGAATTAATTTGAATAAAGTATTTGTTCATCAATTGAATCAGTTAATAAGAATCTTGAAAGTATTATATTAGTATCTTGTGCTTGTTTAAATTATTGTTCAATGAAATGTAGGTCAACATATGTATTAATATGTCTAAGTTGATTCCCACACTTTTTTGAAATGGTATTACTCCAATTCTTTCCATAGGCAAGTAAGAGTCAGAATGATTATTAACTGTCATGATTTTCAAATAAGTATTAATTAGAAACAACCCCAGGCTTAATTTGAAACAGTTGATATATCATGACCTGTTACATAATTAAATAGACACAATTTATTACACACCTAACTGAATACACACATTCTTGACCTCAATAGTGAACCTACAAATGTATTATTTATTTTGATCTACACTACATTAAAATATTCTGTTAATTTCGCTAGCTAGCTGAATGATTAATCTGATGTGTTCTTTTTCAAAGAAAATACTTATAATTAAAAAAAAAAATATGTATAAAAAATGCAATCAAATTTTATTTTACTTGTAAAATCAGTGCCATTATCATCTGACATAAGTCAATAATCAAGTTCTAATTAATTAGTTACAATTATCAGAAATTTGGTTGAAATATTAAACAAAATTGCATAACTCTTATCTGAGCATTTTCTGCAATAAAATTTATTTGTTTGTTTTACATTTATATCCCATTATATTGCTATTTAACAGTAATTGGAAATATCTCAGCATTAGGTATTTGTACATTCAGATTTGAATACAGGAAATGTATTTTTTCTTAATGAAGAATGAACACCAGTCTAGATAAAAAATAGTTATTATTTTTTTTAATTTTTGTTGTTGAGAAAGTGCATTTGAAAGGCCTCTTTCTGGAAATTATTAAACCTGTCATTATTAATGGCATATAAAAATTATATTACTTGTTTGACGATTTTCCTTTCCATTCTTGTCAAAAATAAAATCTGACAGAGTCTAAAATTGAAAGATCAATATATATATCTATATTTGCATCAATATTGCGTAATTCCCTACCTTTTGACAATAACATAGAAATCTTACAGTAAGCAGGTAAGATTGGAAATGAAAAGAGAAAAAAATTTAGAAAAAAGTATGGTAAGAAAGAATATGAGACTAGCTATGAATATGGCTGGATCACAACATCAACGATGCTTTGATTTTTTATTTTTTATTTGGTTTTTTGCTTCTAATTCTTTTAATTTTTTCTTGGAAAGAATCTTGAGAAGAAAAGACAAAAATTCAAAGATAAGTAAAGTTATTGACTAGCATTTGAAAACAAAACAGAGAATCCTTAAAAAAATATTTTTACAGTAAAAAAAAGTTATTGTACATGATGTACATGGTATTCAATTGTTTGTTTGCTTTATTAAATGAATTATTATTAATCATAACTTATAATCATGCAAATGATATGTTTAAAGGAACCATGAAGCAAGTAATTTAACTAGCCTCTTTCTTAACTAATTAAAATTATCAATATCAATCCTTTACAATAAATTTTGTTAACAAAGTTGTACAATCTATTTTCATGATTATTATTCAGGAAAACTAAAAATATCATTATATGGTATAGGAATAAACTATTTTTGTTTATCTTTTATATTTTTCCAAATCTCAAAACTGGAGTTGTGCATGAAAAATCACTAGAGACTTAAATTTTCCAAATGGCTACCTAGTTATCATCAAATTTTGATATATGCTAATCATAATGAAAAATGTTCTTATCTCTATATTTATCTGAATAAAGTAAATCTTGAAAATGAAAAGAAATTATTTAAAGAAAAAAATTGTCTTGCTTTTTGAAACAATTGTAAACTTATCAAATATGTTATCTTCAGTATGGCTAATTTTGTCAGTTAACAGGCAAAATTTGTCTCCATAAAAAATAAAGTACACTTCTATATAGATTGTGACATTTTTATGGTTTATTATTTAAATCACTTTTTGTTCTGTGTATTATATTGTCGAAACTGCAGGACTGGCATATGCATGATACATATTCTTGGTATACATTTGCAAAGAATATTTCACTCAACTCAGGCCTTTTAGATAAAGTTAATAATTGCAGGGACTTGAATGAATTAGATTCTTTAAAGCCCTTGATTAAAAATGAATTTTAAGAAAAAAGATAAGAATATTTTTGAAAATAAAATAAAAACTTATGATGAAAACAGTAAACTCAAATGCTTCACTCAGTAAAGAATTAGTGGTCATAATTTAGAAATAGAAAATGGTGGATAAAAATTCCTATAAAGGATAGAGTTGTTTGTAAAATTAACATAACAACTTAGAGATAATCTATTTGAAAATTGTTTACCTTCTCATAATTATGTCTCTGACCAGTTTATGAATAAAATCTTGAATCTTATGAATAAAATCTTAACCAAGAAGAAAAAGTAAAAGAAATGCTAAACCTCTATAACATGGAACATGTTTAAAATATTGGCTCCTTTATTAAAAAAAAAAGTCATTAGAACTGAGGGCAAAACCTAATATTTTTTTTCCATATGTTTTGATTTCTTATAAAATTGTTATTTCTTTGCATTGTAATGATTGTTTTTGTTGGTTTTTTTTCAGAAACTTGATTAAATTGTCATATGTTTATACGACAACAAAAATATTATCAAATTTTTCTGTAATGAATATTTTGAATATACATGTATTTATTCAATAGAGAAATAATGAATTGCCTAAATTCTATTTAGAATAAGTCCTAAAGATCATCTTGAACATTTGTTAAACAATGTTAAATGCAGTAAGTATAAACCATTTTAATTTTAGAAAATTAATTTGAGAAACACCTTTTCAATGGAAAAAGGCAGGCGTTGTGAAAGTTTGCATTATATTAGAAGATGATATTCATTTATTATTCACTTGCCAAAAAATACATGTAAAAAATAACTTAAATTGATAGAATTATTTAAAAGGTATAACATCAAAACAAACAATCATGAGAAATTTTTTACAAAAAAAAAAGTTAGGAAGCTATATGTTCAACTGGTTTTATTATTTCATTTTATTTTAGAATTTTCTTGTCATAATCACAGTTATCATGGTTATTAAATTTGACAAACACATATATTTTACCTGAGACACTTTACCTGTAAGTTATATAATTTTAACACTTCAATGCAGTCATGATTTCCATTTATCCTTGACTAGTTTTTGATTAATACCTTGTGTATTAATTAAGCAACAGGAGGTATAATGATGGACATTTAGGGCCATCATGGTGACCATATTTTTTATGGCCACCATTAATAAGATAATGTCACAGGTAGTACTGTACATTAGGTATAAATGTGAATATATCCTATTCATGTCTCTGATAAGACAACAAGCGTACAAAATGGGATTTAAATTTTCTGTGCCATAAGATCTCATTTTTGAGTAAAATATTCAAAAGTGCAATTATTAAGATTTAAAAAAAAAAACAGTGTTCCAGCCAAAATTCGAAAAGAGAAAATTCTCAAAAAAGGCAAGTTTTAGTCTGTAAACTAAATTTGGGAGATGGCACTTTAGCACTTGAAGAAGGGTTACTTTCACATAGCAAAAACTTACGCATAACAATGAATTATTAGGTCTACTTCCTCTTTATCTATGATTAAAAAAAAAAAACATTTACAATTGTATACAGTATATTAGGTTTTTTCATGTCAGCTTATTTTCACGATTTGATGATAAAATGGGTAGGTTAAATCTTTACTGTATGTTATAATGTCAGAGATATAAACAGCATAAACTTTTTTTTTGTACACAAAATTAATATATATCTTTTATGCCGTCAGTTTTACAGAACCTTGTCAATTTCAAGAGTTTATTTTTTCTACAAAACTTTGACAAAGAGGATGATTAAGTATATATATGCTTCTTTGTATGGGAGTGTTTTGCCACAATCACCATGTGGGACAGTAATATTCTGTAAAGTTTTCCTCAGAATGCTTATACCTTTCTTGATACTTAAAGGGGGCCATGCTGGCTGAGTATTTAATAAAGTAGAACTGCTATATCACTGGTCTGTCAACCTTGAGGTTGGTAGTTTAAAGACCTGCACATGGCAGGTGCGCTTAACTCAAATCTTAATTGACTAGGATTGTCAGTTTTCCTGCCAAAGGTTAGTGGTTAACTTCGAGCACAATAGTGCTGAAAGTGGCATTGTACATTATTTTCAACTAAGGGATTGCTGTAATCATAAATACTGCACATTTATTACATACAGTAAATATATATTTTTATGAAAACGTTCCCAAAATTTACTTGTCACAGGAAAAAAAATATGGAAAGTAACAAATTTTCCGAAACCATAACACAACTTCTTTGTAAATGGTGTTTTCATACCTTTCTGTTGCAAATGGCTTTAAACCTAATACTTTAAAATCTAAAGAAGAAATGTCAAGGAAGACAGATATTGAAGAGTGTCCATTTTTGAAGATGCACATAGACAAAGGTGAGCGATACAGGCTATATAGAGCATCAATTTTTTTAAAACTCAATGTTATTTAAAGAATCCAAGTCTTCCTGGACCACCAGCAGTCTTGACTTTAAGTGTTGTTGGTCTCTCTCAATATATTTCTAAATTTCAATTCCTGGATAAACTAGTCCATAGATAATTTTTACTATTAAAACTAGTTAAAATTAAACCATGTTTAATCCACCATTCTCTACATAAGAAAATGCCTGTACCAAGTCAGGAATATGAGAGTTGTTATCCATTCTTTTGATGTGTTTGAGCTTTTGATTTTGCCATTTGATTAGGGACTTTCCGTTATGATTTTTCTTCAGAGTTTTGTATTTTTGCTATTTTACTTTTAGCAATGAGTATCATCAGGTCCCTTATGATATAATTCCTGACCACATGAATTACTTGTTTTGTTTTACAGAATGGAGAAACAGCTGCTGATTGTTATTGGTAAGTATTAAAATAATGAAATAGAAGGGATAAATTGTATATACATGTATTCACACATCTTATTCAAAATCTATACATGCACTTGACAAATACCCAAAGCGTTTTTATTGCTGTTCTTTGTCTCAATGCCGCAGTGAGGCTCTCAAAAGGTTGCAAATGTTCACATCTCATTGAAAGTTCAAGACAGCTGAATGAATATTTTGATACATGCTAATTTAGATTTCAAATGAAAATTTATGTATCATATATTAATCAGTGTATAAATGATACCTATATTACTTTAAAAGTTGGGGCTATGTTGCTTTTATTGTCCCTCCGTCTGCTGTCCAACAAATGTTTTCTTCACACTTTACCCAAAAACTACAGAACAAAATGTATTCATATTTTATCAACAGTGTGACAGTGATGAGTTGTAACATATGAGATTTTTTTTTATCTGTCAGATACCTGCTTCCTGTATTCTGATCCGATTTTCAATATATAGAATGAACATAGAATTTTTCCGCAGTCTTTTCTTTGAAACTGATCTTGTTTTGACTTGTTAAAAATTTGCCCTTTTTAGATCAGGAACAAGTTGAATATATTTCAAATCGCTTTACTGATATTGAATATTTTCAGCATCGCTAGTTTTCCCTTTTTTTCAGGATTTTTTGTTCAGTTAAGTGTAACAAGTGCTGAAGAAGAATGTCCTTATAAGGGTCTAAAAAGACTGAGCAATGATAAAGGGCAATATTATGCTGAAGTGAACCCAGATATTCCAGGAGCCTATCACTTTAAGCCCAAACTTCCAGTTAAAGTATACGGAAATTCTGGATGGAATGATATTGTTTATTCCATAGGAAATGACACTAAATGTGTTTTTACTGTTGTTGTAAAAGGTAAGAAACTTAATTCCAAGGTGTACTTTCACTTAATTATACATTTATCATCTAAGGCAAGCAGTTTTACTATTTATTCTAATTTCAAAATATCTGATAAACTATATAAGATATCTCATATAGTTTATAAGATATCTTATATAGTTTATAAGATATCTTATATAGTTTATAAGATATCTTATATAGTTTATAAGATATCTTATATAGTTTATAAGATATCTTATATAGTTTATAAGATATCTTATATAGTTTATAAGATATCTTAAATACTTTATAAGATATCTCATATAGTTTATAAGATATCTCAAATAATTTATGATTCCTTATATAATTTTCTTTTAAAGATATCTAATAAATCATGTGAGATATCTTATAAACTATATGTGATACGCCATCACGAGTTGGTTGACCGTTATGGAATAACCGTTTCACAGATATCGGATATGTTCCTTATGTCGTAACTACAATACCCTTCCCTTTTCACGAATGTGACCTACCGAATTAGACTATTTACCGGATTTGTAATAACATAAGCAACACGACGGGTGCCACATGTGGAGCAGGATCTGCTTACCCTTCCGGAGCACCTGAGATCACCCCCAGTTTTTGGTGGGGTTCGTGTTGCTTAGTCTTTAGTTTTCTATGCTGTGTCATCTGTACTACTATTTGTCTGTTTGTCTTTTTTTTTTGGCCATGGCGTTGTCAGTTTGTTTTCGATCTATGAGTTTGACTGTCCCTCTGGTATCTTTCGTCCCTCTTTTATAAAGTATTTAAAATATCTTATAAAGTATTCAAGATATCTAATATAAAAAATATTTATAAAAAGTAAAATAACAAAAGTACCGAACTCCAAGGAAAATTCAAAATGGAAAGTCCCTAATCAAATGGAAAATCAAAAGATCAAACACATCAAACGAAAGGATAACAACTGTCATATTCCTGACTTGGTGCAGGCATTTTCTGTTATGTAGAAAATGGTGGATTAAACCTGGTTTTATAGTTAGCTAAACCTCTCTCTTGTATGACAGTCGCATATATTATAAAGTTTAGAAGATATATTATAAAGTATATAAGATGACTTGGATGGAGAGTTGTCTCATTGGCACTCATACCACATCTTCTTATATTTATCATATAGTAGATATGATATCAAATAAAGTTTTATAAAATATATTATAAACTATGTAAGATATCTTTTAAAATTTATAAGATATCTTATATAAACTAGATTATATAAGATATACTATATATTATATCAGATATCTTATATTTTATGTGAGATATCTTACATATTATGTGAGATATCTTGAAGTTAGAGTAAATAGTAAAAGAGCCTGCCATAATGATCACTTACCGTCATTATCTTGTGAAATGTGGATAACTAAGCAAAACCAAAACCAATATAAAAATATGGAGATGTGGTATGATTGCCAATGAGACAACTATCCACCAGAGTTCAAAAAAAGTGGAAGTAAGCAATTATAGGCAACCAAACAGTCTTCAACAATGAGAAAAAACCCATACCGTATAGTCAGCTATAAAAGGCCCCGACATGAAAAATATGAAATAACCCAATTTACAAAAATGGGATGAACTTCAGTACCCTTCTGACTGGTGGCACCCATAGTGTTGCTAGTTTGAATCCAGTTATAAGGTTCATTCAACGATGTGATCAACAGGGAAAAGACAATAAGAGAATGGCCACATCAATTGAATCATAATCATCTGTGGAAAGAACATAAGGATGGAAAGAACATAAGGATAAAATGCTAGTTATGTGTATTATCTATGGATAAAAAAAAATAGATAGGTTTATAAATGTTAAAAACGTTGAGATCTAACTACTACTGTCTATTTAAACGTTAGAAATAATAAAAATGATGAGATCTACTTACTGTCTATTTAAACTAAAATTGTCAGATGACTTCTTATATTTGTTATTGCGATTTAATGATGATTTTTCCCAATTATTTTCAAATTTGCCCATTATCTTAAATACTATAAGAGCTAGTGAGGAACTTTAAATAAAATAAAGGATCAGCAAGACAATACTCACAAATAAATCAACATGACTGAAATTACCAGTTGACTCCTTATATGAGGATTATTTTGAAAATAATAATAGATTGATAGAAATTTTAAATGGAAAAAATTGTCAACAAGACAAGATATATGAATAATGTCGGAATCATTGCTTGAGTAATTGCTCCAAAATGATGATTATTCCCAATTATTACGATTTTCTTGTATCTCGAAAACCATATTAGATAAAGAGACACTAAAAACGAAAAATGATTAGCTGGACAAGATCTGAATTATGTCAATACGTCATCCGACTAGGGGTTAATTACCCTAAATGACAATTTTTACATTTTTTCATTTATTATTTTGAAGTAATGTAGAAAAAGAAAAACTGCAAAAAGAACAGCAAAAATGATCAGGAAGACAAGATTAACAAAAAAAGGATCTAAGTCATAAATTATGTTCTAGTCTTGAATGTTAAAAAGGCACATAGATCAAGGTGAGCAACACTAGCCCTGTAGCCTTTGGTTTTTATATTGGTCATTGGGACATTGTTTTCACCACCTTTTAGGACAATCTCATATTAGTTAAAAGAAATAAATATTAGAATGAATATGAACTTTAAAACTTTTTTTATTTAAAATATTTCAATATGTAACGACAAATACATGTATGTTGAAGTGAAATAAATATCAATTATATATCTCCAATAATTATTTACATGCATTGTTTGACCTTGTGACACTACTGAAGTCTCACATTTGCATTTCAATCTTTTTACAGTTCTTAGGTGTGAACAGGAAGTCAGCAGCATAAGTGACTATGAAGGTGGCACAAACTGCTCCAACCTGATATGGGGGAAATCATGTAATGCTGCATGTTCTGATGGTAAAGTGTCTGTGGGCGGACCAGCAGTGTATACATGTGAAATGGATAATAGTAATAAAACTTTTCTACAGTTAGATAAAGCCACTGTATGTCAAGGTATGTTTATCTCTTTAAAAAGTATCAAACCACTTGTTTTTACATCCGAAAAGTTCTTGTAAAATCAATGTATTATACCTGTAAGTTGATCATGAAGTATCGGTACTATTGAGGTATGATGGGGTTCAGGTGTCACAATCATATATCAAGAATTGCTTGGCTGAACCACTTTGTATGTAGGTGTATCTTTCACTCAACTGCAGCCAAGCTTAGCGATAGGCTGTGCAACATAATCAGTCCAACAAACTTTATTAGATCAACTCATTTAGAAAACAACTGTTTTCATTGGTCAATTCAAACCTTCGACCTGAAATAAACTTTCAAGCCCACCCGCCCCCCCCCCCCCCCCCCCCCAAAAGCACACCTGGGAAAAAAGAACATGCATACTAGAAACGATTGAAAATTAAAGGGACTAATCACGTATAGGGTTGTGTACTTGATTATTTTATGGCAATTCTAGCTTATATTATACAAGTACATATAAAATTTATTTATATTATAATTTGGTTCAATAGTTCTCATTCAAGTTCCTTTTTTTTTTTAAAGTTTTGAAATTGATAACAAAAACTCATTACTGTTTTGATATATGTATTGAATTAAACTGTCTCCTGTAAAATAGTTTTGGACTAGCCCAATGCACCTTTTCTATCATTTATGTTACATCATTATGTGTTTGCAATTAGACCACATAAGGAAATATGAATGAAATGACAAAATACATAGTAAAGATATTGCACGATTTTACAGTAATAAGTTAATGAAATAAATTGCTCACTGTTCATACTCTATCATCAGTATATCACAGCCTGCTTTTTGACCTTTAAGCTAGGCTCAATTAACTAACACATATCAAAGATCATATCTCAGTCACTTACATAGTTAGAGCATGTTACTAACATGGATCAATGATCATATCTCAGTCATGTACATAGTAAGATCATGTTATTAACACAGATCAAACGTCATATCTAACTCGTGTACATATATTTGTAGTAAGATCATGTAACTAGTAAAATTGAGAATGGAAATAGGGAATGTGTCAAAGAGACAATAACCTGACCAAAGAACAGAAAAACAGCCGAAGGCCACCACTGGGTCTTCAACACAGCAAGAAAATCCCGCACCCGGAGGCGGGCTTCAGCTGGCCCCTAAACAAAAATGGGTAGTAGTTCAGTGAAAACGGACATCACACTAAACTCCAAAACATTAAAAAACATGCATGACTAACAAAGGCCAGAGGCTCCTGACTTGGGACGGACGCAAAAATGCGGCGGGGTTAAACATGTTGCGTGAGTTCTCAACCCTCCCCATATACTACTAGCCAATGTAGAGTAAACAAACATACAGCAATACGCACAGTAAAAATCAGTTTAAAAGAAGTCCGAATCCGATGTCAGAATAGGTAACAAAAGAAAGTAAGCAAAATGACAATGATACATAAATTTACAAAGGACTACTAGCAGTTACTGACATGCCAGCTCCAGACCTCAATTAAACTGATTGAAAGATTATGTCTTCATCATATGAAGTGTAATTTATTCCTTTTGGACAAGGAAATATTTAAACATATATTTATGACAAACAAGACAATTTCAATTGTGAAATTATAGGTTTTCCTTACCTTAGCAGTATATTCCAACTTTACTTGCGTATGGACTTTTGTATACATTTCTCAACTCATATGATATTCAAGAGCTTGCACCTGCTACTCAGACATCTGTGTCTGAGGGAAAAATTAATTTTTGTCAAAGAACATCTCTTCCACTTTCTCAAACAGTCCTTTGGAAAGAACCAATACCTGATAGATAAATATTCAGTGTCTACTTCACAAATGATACAAGATGGTCTTCAGTTATAGATTCTAGGTGCTGAAGTTGTGTATCTTTTTATTTTACTTTTTTTTCCCAGTTATTTGTTTTCATACTATTATGTTTTTGTTGATCAGATGACTTTTGACGTGCCTCAGTATTAATTCATCCTGCTTTTTGATTTTTGAGTTTTTAACTTTGGACATTCCTATTGTAGGAATGTCCTCTGATGTATGATTCGGACACAAAGGGTTTTTACAGTATTGTTTCTATTTTGTTTACCCTTGTATTTCTATTTACTTTGTTTTTACTTTATCGGGAAAGTGCATAAAATTACAGTATGTACTATCAACAACAAAAACATTTTTTTTTTGTTGGTGACCTCATTGTCTTATTAACGTCACTGATGAGTTGTTTGTAGACGAAACACGTGTCTGGTTAACAAAATTTTGGCCCGGGCATCTTTGATTAGTTGTACTATTTACTACACCTTTTTGTTGGTGTCTTTGTTTGATTAAGTTGTATGTTTGCTTGAATTTAGTCAGTTGTGTTGTATGCTTGTGATGTATGTTTACACAATTTTGACTGCTGGATCCCAATTATTGTCACATTTACCTATTATGACTGCTTGGGTTGCCTACCCATTTTGTCAATATAACGTAAATATAAACAACAGTCATACAAGTGGGAGGTTTAGCTAGCTATTAAAACCAGATTTAACCCACCATTTTCTTCAAAAATGTCTGTTCTAAATCAGGAATACAGCAGTTGTTTTTCACTTGTTCCATTGATAGATATCGTTTGATTTTATAGTTTTGTAGTGGACTTCACTTTTTTTTAAGTTGCCTGGGACATTAGTATTTTTGTTATACTTTTTAAATATATATGAATGTAAACATCATTAAAGGTGGGGGAATGAACACAAACATACGTGCGCACACACACACAAATATTCTTGCACTTGCATTTTTGCATAGACTAATACTTCATCTTATATATTAATTATTTAATAAACTTGCATGAAATAACTGTCTGTATGATTTCAGGTTCTGCCTATGCTTTGAAATGTCCCCAAGATATGACAATCTTCATACCATCTTCCAGTAATACTGCATATGTAACATCAGATAATTATATATATAAATGGACTATTCCAGCTACGTTGGACAGCCATGGAAAGCCTTGGAATGTTGAAAGCCAAACTGCAAGGAACTATCCTTATGAAATTGGCAGATACACCAATGTAGTGACAGCTACGAGTTCAACAGGGGAAATCAGTTCTTGCAAATTTGACTTCATCATTGAACGTAATGTTTTTATTTCCAGGGAACACGAAAAAGAAATATGAGTAACATATTTTTTGTACATAAATTAGGCCGTTAGTTTTCTCATTTGAATTGTTTTACATTGTCATTTCGGGGCCTTTTATAGCTGACTGTGCGGTATGGGATTTGCTCATTGTTGAAAACTGTACGGTGACCTATAGTTGTTAGTTTCTGTGTCATTTGGTCTCTTGTGGAGAGTTGTCTCATTGGCAATCATACCACATCTTTTTTTTATATATAAACAGTTATGTGTTTGCTTATCATTTTGTTTGCAGTTTCAGCCACAACTCAGCTAAAATAAAGTTTTGGGGACGTCCAGAAAATACAACCTTTATGGAAGCTGACTGAAGGGTTGAGTCATTTGATTTGGAAAGGGGGCAAAGGCTCTGGAGATTTTGAAAATTATTTTTTTTATTCTAATTTTTTGGTTTTAATAATATAAACTTATGTTATTCTAATATCACTTGAATTCACTTGAAAAACAATAAAATTGAAAAAAGATATTTTGTTCCTTAAGAAAACTGGTAGCTCAATACAGGTGAAAATAATAAATATCAGCCATTGGTTTTCTTATATAAATTGTTGTACATTCATACATGCTGCAGGGTTTTATATATGACTATACAGCTTTGCTTGTTGTTGAAGTCCTTACAGTGACCTTTAGTTGCTTCCATCTATGCTATTACGAGTATGGTGGAAAGTTGTCTTGTTGAGTCATCTGGGGTCACACTACATCTCCTTTTTGTCGAGCCTGCGACTTTTGTCACAAAACCGAGACATAGCGATCCTACATTCCGTCATAGCGGCGGCAGCGGTGATGTCCACAAATATTCACTCTGTGGTTTAAGTTTTTTAAATTTTAATAACTTTCTTAAACTATCCTGGATTACTACCAAACTTGGACAGAAGCGCTTCTTTATGATCATAAGATAGTATCAAGGAGTAAATTTTGTAAAAAAAAAATCCTGTTTATCTGTATTTCACTTATAAATAGACTTAGTTTTTCTACCAGTTAACATTACATTCACTCTGTGGTTAAAGTTTTAAAATTTTAATAACTTTCTTAAACTTTCCTGGATTTCTACCAAACTTGGACAGAGGCTTCTTTATGATCATAAGATAGTATCCAGAAGTAAATTTTGTGAAAAAAAATCCTGTTTATCCGTATTTTACTTATAAGTAGACTTAGTTTTTCTGCCAGTTAACATTACATTCACTCTGTGGTTCAATTTTAATAACTTTCTTAAACTATCCTGGATTTATACCAAACTTAGACAGAAGCTTGTTTATGATCAAAAGCTAGTATCTAGACAGAAATTTTGTAAAAATTTATTTCCTGTTTTCCCGTATATTACTTATAAATGGACTTAATTTTTTCTTCCAGTTAACATTGCATACAGTCTGTTAGATTCATAAACCATCCTGGATTTTCACCAAACTTGGACAGAGGTTTCTTACAATCAAAAGATTACATAGACAACAGCAAAAGTAGGCGAGACACTGAGTTCCGCGGAACCCTTACAAATTATTTTATAGCGATATGGCATAATTTTGCAAGGTGAGCAATTCGGGTTTTGGGAACTGTTTTTGTTTATCTTTCATTGTTCAGAGCTAAGTTTTTGCCATCAGGTCAACTTTTTCATTGCACTAAGAATAATCGACAATATTTGGTATACAGAAATCACTATAAGGTGAACAACTCCATCCCACAGTTTTCACTTAACCTTGTCATCATATACATGGTTCAATGACTTATTTCAGTCAATGTTAATTCTTTGTGATATGGTTGGTCAGTCAGTTACAACTATAAATTCAGTAATTAATGCGTTCATTTATTATTGCAAATCCTTATCAACTTGTAAAAAATGCGAAATGTAATTAATCCAATTGAAAAAATGTATAAAGGAAAATCGCTTCTAAAATAATGAGTGAAAATTTTTATTATTGTGATACTGATACTGTGCCATTAAAAAGACACATCACAATAATTTCTGAATTAACAATTTTAAGTTTAGTGGTTAGTTGTAAATATAATTTCTTTTATTATTTATTGTAGTATGTTTTAAACATTGTACTTTGACTATGACATGATAAACTCATATCATACAGTTTATTATCAGTGATAATTGAAATATCTAAACAGATTTTTTTGTGTGTCCATTGTCATGTGTTTATATAACGAAATACCATGACTTTTAAACTCTGGATAAAGATACAGCATCACACAATATTTTTCTATACTTAATTTTTATCGTAGCCAAACTTGGTTTGATAATGACCCATCTAGTGAAGGAAAACCCTAATGATTTTGAGGTAACTAGTTCATGTTCGAGGGTCATATCAGCTATTGAAAGAATGAAATGTGGGGGAATGTAGTTTGAAATGCACATTTTAAGGATGGATTTAGGTGAAATTTTTAAAAAATCTAGAATTTAGAATTGATACTATAAACCAAAAGAGCATAAGTTAAGGAACAGAATAAACTAAAATATTGATAGGGTATGGAGCTCCTTTTCAAGATATTTGTTTTTTTTAAATGGCGGGAAAAAGCTGACTCTGACTTTTACCTTATATTTTCATTGGTTTTATTTCATATTTGGGTCACAAATCAAAAGAAAAGAAATCTTGAATTTGCCTAAGTTTTGGTAAATCACATTTAATGAGCGATTGAAGTCTTATATGAAATGAAAAATGGTGTTTTGGTGCAAAATATTTTACCCTATATCTTAAGGAAAAAAACCAAGGTGTCCCAACATCTGACATAAATTCCTAAACCTGACCCAAGTACATTCTTAAAGTACAAAATCAGTATGTTTGAGTCATCAGTTCATAATTCAAGGTCACAGTACCTTTAAAAAGACTGAAATTTTGAGAAAATGTTCATTCACAGACAATTTCTATTGAATTATAATTCCAATCTTTACCAAACTTTGATGAAACAAGCTTTTTGAAGGTATAAAAAGATCCTATTGATTTTAAGGTCACCTGGTCAAATACCAAGGTATAAAGTGCATTAACCTATATGTAAGGGATCATCAGTATATCATATAAATGAAAGTCAATGATATATGTAGTTTTGGCTAATTATAAAATTAACATGCATGTATATGTATCTATATTTGTTATATTAATTTGCAGGTTTACAATGTACAGTTCCTGAAGTGGATGATTCTACAATAGAAGGTTCTTCACCAAACAGTACATATTATATCAGAAACTATCCAGAGAAAAAGATCTGTAAACAGGGCTATGATTTGAAACCAATAGAATATGACTATGACTTTGTATTCGTGGAATGTGCAGAAACATCACCTGGACATGCGGAGTGGAAAGATTGGTACAGTAGAAACTGTACAAGTAAGATCTTACATTTATGATAAGTTAACTAAAAAAGATAATACTTGAAATTCCATGTTGGCATTCTGGACACTTCAAATGTTTGTTACTAGTACAAGTAAAAATTCGTAAGGGTTCCGCGGAACCCAGTGTCTCGCCTACTTTTGCTATAAACGCAGGCTCAACAAAAATGAGGAAAAAAATTAATAAAAATATTCCTCTCTATACTATCTTTTGATTGTAAGTAGCTTCTGTCCAAGTTTGGTAAAAATCCAGGATGGTTTTTGAATCTAATAGATGATTTTAAAACTTTAACTGCAGACTTTATGTAAAGTTAACTGGAAGAAAAACTAAGTCCATTTATAAGTAAAATACGGAAAAATGGAACAAAATTTTATCAAAGTTTCCTTCTAGATACTAGCTTTTGATCATAAACAAGCTTCTGTCCAAGTGTGGTACAAATCCAGGATAGTTTAAGAAATTTGTTAAAATTTTAAAAACTTTAACCACAGAGTGAATGTAATGTTAACTGGCAGAAAAACCAAGTCCATTTATAAGTAAAATACGGAAAAAATGGAATTTTTTTTTACAAAATTTACCTCTGGATACTATTTTATGATCATAAACAAGCTTCTTTCCAAGTTTGGTAGAAATCCAGGATAGTTTAAGAAAGTTATTAAAATTTCAAAAACTTTAACCACAGAGTGAATGTAATGTTAACTGGCAGAAAAACTAAGTCCATTTATAAGTAAAATACGGAAAAAATGGAATTTTTTTTTTACAAAATTTACTTTTGAATATAATCTTATGATCATAAACAAGCTTCTGTCCAAGTTTGGTAGAAATCCAGGATAGTTTAAGAAAGTTATTAAAATTTCAAAAACTTTAACCGCCGACGGAATGTAGGATCGCTATGTCTCGCTTTTTCGACAAAAGTCGAAGGCTCGACAAAAATCAATGGTCAATGTTCATCCACTAGAATTAGTAGATAATGATGGTCAGTGTTCATCTTCTAGAACAAGTAGATATATTGATGGTGAATGTTTGTCCACTAATACCAGTAAAAATCAACGGTCAATGTTTATCTAACTGTTCAAGTAGATGTTGATGGTCAATGTTTGTCCTCCAGTATGAGTAGATATGGATTGTTCATGTTTGACCTCTAGTACAAGTAAATATTGATGGTAGATTGATTGATGTTTAATGTCACTTTCAACACTATTGTCAAATTCGTGACGGTCAGTTTATATTGGTGGATGAAGCCTGAGTGCTTGGAGAGTACGTCTCTTTGATTGAGTTTAGCCATTTCAATTGCTATTTTATAGTGTGTCTTATGTTGAAATGTAACACTACTGTCTCAGGTTAGGGGGAAGGTTGGCACTTGTTAAAATGTTTAAACCTGCTGCATTTTTTTGCACCTGTCCTTAGTTAGGAGGCTTTTTGTTCAGTGGTTGTCGTTTGTTGTAGTGCTTCATAGGCGTATCTCATTTCTTGTTTCATCTCGCCTGCGCCGAAAGTCGCAGTATGCAATACATAGGTATTATTATACGACCCCAGCATAAACTATTTGTATAAAGCTTTATATTTCAGAAGGTAGAAGACCTGGATGCTTCATATCTTGTATGCAGATACCTTATGTTATGAAGTTTCCGTCAATTACAAATAATCATTTTCATGGTTCAGTGACTGCTTAAAAAAATTAGTTTTCTTGTCATGTGAATTTATCACTTGTATTGAGTTATATCATAACTATATTTAGTATATGGGTTACTTGCAAGGTATACATGTCCGCCAGACAGAGTTCACCTGACCTAGACCTTATTTCTTGGATCAGTGATCAAGGTTAAAGTTACGTGATTTAGGTCCGTTTTTCAAATACTATAAGCAATAGGTCAAAT